AATTTTTTTTGCTAAAAAAAAAAAAACCCAAAAAAAATTCCAACACCTTAATAAAAAAAAAAAAAAAAAAAAAACTAGAGGGAACTAGACAGAAATAAATAATTTCTAGACTTTTTTTGCCTTAAATTTTAATATCCATCCATCCATTGTCTATTCCCGCTTATCCTTGCAGGGTATCAGTGGGACAGGTGGAAAAATAGAAAAATGAAATAATCCAGTTGCATAAATGTCCAAACTGAACTCATTTATAGCATTCAGCCTTCTTTGATTCCCTTGCGGCATCCCAGATTTTGGTTTGGCATTACTTTCCAATTCTGCTTTTTCAAAAGATTTCCGAAACCATCAGACTGCTGACATTTTTTAAGGTGACTCCATGGATTTCCTGTCAGATTTATTTCTGGTTCAGCCATTCTAAATCCTTAGCTTTCTTCTAATGAAGTTAATTTGTTAACTTAAATGCATGTTTAAGCTTCCTGAAGCTGATCAATTTAAATCACCACTTTCTATTAGGGATGGACTAATACAATATGTGGGCCGATAACCAATATTTACCAATATTGTATATATATATATATATATATTTTTTTTTTTTTTTAATGTTCCCCCCCCCCCACTACTGTTTTGACGCCTTTTGGAATATACCACCATAAACAAATAAAAACAAATCAGTTGTTCATATTGGTCTAGCTTTATTTATCAGGCCGAAACCGATGTGTTAAAAATTACTAATGTTGGCCGAAGCCGATGCTAGGACCAATAAATAGGGCATCACTACTTTCTATCGAGCACCTGAAGGTGTTTGGTTAAAACTGATTGGCATTTGTAACTATTCAAAATTCCACTTTGAGAAACTTCCCCAGTCCAGTGAAAGAAAGGTAACCACAGAGCATGCTGCCGCCACTACCATGCTTCACTGTTGGTATGCTGATCTTTTGGTAATGAATTTAAAAATCTTCCCTGCTCATCTGAATAGAAATTCCTCTACAAATACAACTCCAAACAAGTCCACCTAAACACAATTATATCATCTTCACTTGAAAAATATTTGTGTTTCTGAGGAGTCTATCTCAAAAACTAGAAACAGCATTTGTGTGTCACAAACTCTCATCTCGGCGCAAAGCATTCTTTTGAAAAGAACTAAAATAAAATCATCACTGAAATTTTGCATGCAAAATTCAGTTTTGCTTCAACAGATGTGTTTTTGGGTTATGATTTAAACTTTTAAATTACATTTGATTATATTTTAAGAAATAAAAATCTGCTTCTTCTGCTTAATAGGTTAAAAAAGGAGTATGTATGTGTTGTTCTTATAAGAATAGATGAAGGTCTAACATTTGGCAACATCTGACATGTTAACACCCTTTGCTGCAGAGAATGAATTGCTTCCTGAGAGCCTTTAAGAGGATGGTGCTCTTTTGAAATGGGCTGCGTACAAACAGTTATCATCTGTGTCAACGTACAAGTGGCAGCGCTGGAGTGATGAAGAGGAATATTTCTGTTGCCCCAGTGTGCCGCCTCGGGACTGTTATCTCTGCAGCACATACATCAGACCCCACTGCACACACCTCTTCCCTCTGAATGCAACATGACAGCTTCCTTTAGTTTTCCACTTCCATTCCAGATAACACTGCAGTCCTGATCCGGCGTGAAGTGCTTAGGAGATGTCGGCTGATATGAATTGAACTGTCAATAATGCACGGAGGGGAAAAACAACAAGCTTTTAAATGTACAGCGTCTTAAAGAATGTAAATATATTTATGTTTTCTCTGATGCAGAGATTATGTTATCAGTGTTTAGGGTTTATGTGCAGATCCCTATTTTAAAACAAGTTGATAAAAAAGGAGCGACTGTGACATCAGATTTGTTCTGCGTTTCTATATGGATCACTTTTTAAAATTTTAAAGGGCTTAACAGATGCTTATTTCCAGCAGTGTCTTGTAACAGATAAAACACAGAAATAAGCTTTTGTATCGCTCAGATCAAAAGCGGCCAGCAGATATGAGCATAGGTTTCCAAATTTCTATAATAATAAAGCTTCAGTCCTTATCTAATGTATACAGATGATTTAAACTGAATTTCTGAAGGATTATAAATTGAATACCTCAAGCACAACACATAGCTGAATGCAGATTAGCAAAAATATGATGAAGGCACATTTTGCATCGTTAAATATTTTTATATTTTAACATAAAGTCCAGGTGGGTAGCTAAAGGCAAGCCATTATTGTTTAACCCTCATAAATGTAAAGCATGTTGGTTCAATGAAAATGTGAGATGTGCTAAATGCAAGAATTAAAACTAAATTTGAAAGTAAAAAAAAAATAAAAAATCACAAAACTAGCACTCTGCCAGGTGAAAGACGGTTTTAGTTCTTGTCACTAACTTTCACATCGTCTAAATTGGGCCGAAACAGTAAATTCAGCTTAGAGATGAGAAGAAACGGGATTGGATTCACAAGAAAAAGATGACATTTTAAACAGATTACCCAAAATAAAAACAAGAATGCCTCTTTCTTATCGTCTTTTCTAAATCCAGTAAAGATTTCACAATTCAAAACTTTGTTTTGAAGACTATCTGAACATTTTAGTCAAATTAGGACTTCTCTACGTACATCTGAGGTAGACTTAATATTTAAACAAGTATTTTAAAAGTATGTATTGTTTTCACAAAGGTGCATAAAGGAATCGCTAAACATTGAAATAAAACCATTTCCTGATGTTTTACATGGTAACTTTACCATCATTTTTCTAGAAGAAGTTATGATATTGTGTTTTCTTTTTTTTTTTGATTTTTTGGCTCTGGTGGCCTTTATCTGACAGTTAATTGACAGGAAAGTGGGTAATGAAAGAAGAGGGAAGACATGCAGCAAAGATCGCCAAGGCCGGGAATCGAACCTGCGACAGCCGCGTCGAGGACTGAGGCCTCCATATGTGGGTTGTGCTTAACACCTGCACCACCACAGCACACCCCCTGCTATTGAGTTTTCATAAAAATAGCACCAACATGGATCACATCATAAATCGCTTCAAAGAATTTATAAGCAGTGTAAAGTGATTCAGTTCTGCTGCAGCCTGTATAAATAATTGTTTTTGAGCTACTAATGGGATGATGCAAGTCAGGTGCCAACTTGAGAGTTAGTGGCCAACATAAATTTTGTACAAAATGGTACAAATAGTAGAGTTCTTATAAACCATTTTATTTTCTGAATCACTATATCAGTTATTTTCTTCCTACCAGGTGCCCCAAATGCCTTCACACAAACATAATGATGCAATAAATTGGTGATGATAATTTAAATAAAGTTTTACTGACTGAATCTGGCTAGTACATTGACAGAAAAGTAAAACTTACCACCATATTTCAATACAACCCTGCATATTAAAGATATGATCCAAAGAAAGCTTTGTCAATTCCAGGAAAACTTAAGCTGCTGTTTGATTTTTTTTTTAATTACCATTAAAAACTGTTGGTACCTCATCAACTGCCTTGGTACAAGAAGCATAAAATTAACTACATTTAACTGGAAAAAAGGGATTTCTAATGGAAGACTAAAACTTATTGACAATGACATTTACAAAATATATGGTTTACAGTGTGAGAAACATCAAAAATATGTTTATAAGTACCATAACCAAAAAAGTTGACACATCATGGATAATTAAGTTAGATCTTAAATTTAAATCATCATAGTAGTGGTGTTTAAATTTTACTTACTGAGGCTTGCAGAAACCTGCCACAGTTTCCAAAGAACCTTGAATTATCACAAGTTTTGGCCAGTAGTTCAATCTGTGGTCAGAAAACAACAGATTGAGTTAAGATCTGTACCCTGAAATCTGTGTTTCTCTGTTAAGCTAAAGATAAAACATACAATATGTTGCAAAACTTAATTACCTCTGAATATGTCAAATCTGAGCACCCAAATGCAGGCAAAGTAAATGCAACATAAAGAAATTTTGGTAATCTGAAATCCCCCAACTTACATAAAACAAAAAATATAACTGAAAAAGTACTTATACTATTACATGAGAGGAAAAGCTGCAAAAGAGCTAAAGGGGAGAGCGATTACTAGACAGGAACCTACAAATGGAAAGTAGTGGGAGGATGAGGCAACTTAGTAAATCTAAGGGAATTAATAGTTGAACCAAAAAGCAATAACACAAAAACCAGAACACTGGCCCTTTATTTTTTTAATTTCACCTTGTCAACACTCTTACTTTTGTTATACTGAATCCTCAAACAGGGAAGCCAGTCAGAATTTGTATAAAAATTGATGGAGCTAAATATAATATAAATCTGGTACAAATAGGCTCGTCACTATAACACATTTCCCGGGATGGTAAATTGTCCCAAAAGTTATTGCAATAAATGGTAATATTGTTGTTTTGAGACCATATTAAAATGAAACAATTTTAATAATGCAAGTACACCCTCTTAAAGATCGATAAAGTTTAAATTCTAATGAACGTTTGGAAGACATTTTAGATATCCAAAATAAATAAATAAAATGCATACTGAAGTTTCTGTAAACAAAATTGCCCTTCAAAAAGGGTTTATTTTGAGACTAAAGCACCAGACTGAAGACTTTTTGTCATCTAGTCGCGTCACATAATTTAAGAAAATTTGTTTTATTTTGCTTATTGACCATAAAGCAGACTTGGTCGCAAACTATCTATGCACATTACTAATAGTAAGCACAAAAAAAAAAATAGCTCTGGACACTTTGGCATGTTGCAGCAACTGAGAAGTCCAAGGTGGAGTTGAATGCAGAAAAAACATCTCATACAGCTAAGATTCCCTGCTGAGCAACTGTTGGTCCAAAATATACTAAGCAGTTCCATCAACCTCCATCAACCTCATAAAAACAGAACAGCTTAACTATGTTTTATTTCCAGAGTTTAAGCAGAGTTACAACTCAAGAGCTTCAGTCAGGTAATAAAAATTTATGTTTACATTCCACATTGGCTGCTCTTTACTGTAACCAGCAATAAATAAATGAAGATTTCTGCTACAGTTTTTGTCCTAAAACTATGAATCAAAGAGTAATTCTGTGTTTGTCATCAGACTAATCAGTCCTCTATCTGGTACACTTTGCATGTTAATAACTGGCTTTCAGGATCATTTTTCTACGCATTTCCCTTCAAGAAAAAAAATATCCTGAGAGGGAGATTTAATATCCTTGTCTGACTTGATGGGAAAAGGCGATCCAACACCGCAACAATGCGGCATCTTGATGCAATAATCTCAAATTAAGTCATGAATAATGTAGCGAAAAGTCATGAAGAAGAATTAATAATTCAATAGATAAATAATTTACAAAATAATCAAATAAATAAATAATGGTGAACCATAAATAAAGTATTAGATTAAATCTTTCGACCAGTAAGTATAAGGAAGGAAGCACAAAGAAAGAGGAAAAAGTGCTTGCTGTTTAATGTATCAGAAAGTAAATTTTATTTAGGTTTTAAAAGGTTTGACCTATAGAGAGCCTGTGTTACTGGCACTTACTACAGATATATTGAGCTTTGGTTGCGTGAAATAAAATTAATTTCTGACAAAACGCCATAATCTAATGCAGTTGTTCTGACAGTGTGAAATGTGTGTTATTGAATACTTGAGGTAAGCTAAAATTGACATTAAAATGTTTTAAAAGATGTTTTTTGTGTCCTGATTTGCTAAGTCCTAATATGACTTTCATCATGTGTGCAGCTGTGTTCAGGATAAAGAGCTTGGACATAGAAACAAACAAGGAAACAATATCATGAGCGGAAGTACTAAGGGTAGAAAATGACAACTGAACCAGATAGCTTAATCTGAGGTGATGAGGAAAAGCTGTGGCAGAAAGAAACTGACAGAGACTAATGGTGTTAACACCAGATAGTACGGTGGATTCGGACTGATCGGGGTTCAAAATTGCAACATTTGTTACATTTTCAGCTGCTACGATTTGCTTTTAAACTGCATTGTGGCAAACGAATTAAATCATTTGAAAAATGTTTTTGTGTCATTTCCTTCAGAACCACTGAAGGAAATGACACAAAAACCTCTGAAGAAGACATGAGTGCAACTTTCTTCTTCACAAAATGTAAACAAAAATGGATTAGCATCAGATTTGTTGTCTTAGGTAAAATACCATGACCCATTTTTCCCATTAGCGCTAGACACTCGCATTTGTTTAGGTTGGATTTACCCAGAATGCCCTATGCTATAGTCTGCTTCTTGCTTTTGTAGCGATCTACGATCCGCGTGGCATTCATTCAAACATCGCTACAGTGCACTTCAACTGAACCAAAACCTAGGTTAGTAGGTGGACCAGAGTTCTGTTTTTTGGTCTGCATCAGAGTTTGACTTAGCATTCACACCTCTCCAAACGAACATGGACTTTCTAGAGTTAGACTAAAGCAGACTAAACAGGGCTGGTGTGAATGTAACAGACAGGGGATGAACCAAGGCTCAAACAATCTAGAAACCAAACGGGGGGGAAAAAAACAATACTCTAAGAGATAAAAGTTCAAATTTACAATGATCTGAAATTTAGAGTAAACTAAGAAAAAAAGCACAAAGAAGTGGACAAATATGGCAACACTGTTATAAGAATAATGAACACTGAAGGCAGAAAAGTCTTGCAAGACCCAAATCACTTGCTCCAAACTGTAAATCATCTGTTTTATATTCCGATTTCCTTCTTGTTGAAACGTTGGTTTAGATTCTCAGTCATCCTGGACACGGTAACATTGAGAATTGCCTGAAGCTCAAGCTTTTGTTGCAACATGCAATGACATCTGCTTGGCCACTTTCTACCTCCATCGAGTCAGTAACACAATCTTCTAAAGCAGATGTCTTTGAGCAAAATGACTCCATCACATCTTTAAGCTCATATTGTCAGATTGTAGATTTTTAGGCAATCTTATTTGGATCCTTTAGATGCATTTACCACCAAAAGTAGGTCAATAATCAAAAAAAAAAAGGATAAAAACCATGACCAAATGAGCTGCTTATTTCTTGACGTATCTTCCTTTGCTTTAAAACTCTACTGAAATGACTTTCAAAAGGAATTTTTGCTCTGGCTGTGTCAGTTATTTTAAACTCTCCACACTCTCTTAGAGGCCAGTTGATATTTTAATGTCAAAAGAGCATCTACTTCCCAGAAATAATGCACAACGATAAAGTGTTTGGGCTGTTTGGGCCCTAGGACAGCAACACGTTTATCATAGCTTTCTGAACCTCTGTTAGTATCAGCCAGGCTTCCAGAAAATATACTGTACAATTATACGACAGGCTTTAACTGTAAATACTTCTTAGCCTGCGCTACCTTCTGCCCATTGAAGACACCAGTTTCTATTGTGCCATCTGTGTATCAACCTTACCCTATCAGGAAACAATCAACACAACCATCTGCGGTCTAGTCACCAGTCCTGTTATCCCTCCAAACCAAATAATGACTAACTGGAAAAAGAGCAGGGTGAGCAAGTCAGTGGTGCTTCTATCAAAGGTGGACACCATCCAACGAGAGAGCTCAATTAAACAGAAACACAGTGACAGAAAATACTGTTTGACTTTTCAGCTATAATGGGCTTTTAAAAGATTAAGCAGATTAAGAATGGATTTTAAAAAGTTAGATACAATAGAAGGACATTTTGAATGGTTTTACTGTACTCTAAAACATAAATAAGTATGTTAACATATCACTTGATGATAAAGGACAAAAACCTATTACACAGGTTGTATTTGACTTTGAATGTTCCTTCAAACTGCTGCCCAAAAATCCAGCAGCGACTTGTCCAGAGCATTAAAATTCATCCACTCCCAGTGATTGCAAACAATGAGGGTCCAAAAAAGAGAGGTGGCAGACAAAGATTAATTAAAAAAGGAAAAGCTGTACAATGGATTGTTTCATTAGAAGCCAGTTGTATGGCTGCAAAAATGCCAAGAAAATATGTATGAGAGTCCGGCGGATGGACAGCGCTTAAGATAAAACAGTCGAAAAATGTGCAACAGACAAAACCAGGCAATGTGGAATGGAAGAGGCCTCTAATGAAGCCAGCTGGTCCCAGTCCAGGCAGGCGAGGCAAAGGAGGGGGAGGATTGATCGAAGGAGAGACCCATGGGGGTCGAGGGGGAGAGAAGAAAAAGAGAAGGGAAAAGGGGAGTAAGACATGCAGGATGTATGGCCACCCAAGCAGCTCTATTGTATCAGGAGGCTCCAGTAGGTCCATTTCTTCCAAAACTCAGCTGAAAAACCTAAAGCAATGCCAAACAGCACATCTGCTAATCGTGCAGCAATTACTACACTAATAGATGTTTCTTCTTTTCTATTCTGCTTCTCATAGCCTCACTGTCGGCGTGTTAGGATACAGTGCATCATTGTACAAACGATTCAGAAATCTATGGCTGGTTTTTCTTTTCTGAATCTACCCATCAAAAGGGTGAAACATTGAAATCTGTACCTCAGTTAAATGTATTGCCACTATACTGTCTGAAGATAAAACAATTAAATATGAAGGAGAAATTCCTTCACTGGTCAGAGGAGAGTGGTATGTTCCCTCTCATTTAAGTCAATAACAAAAATCGCACCAGACTTTAAAATGATAACATTTGGGTCCATTCCTCTTTACAACATTGGTTTGGGTCATAGAGGTATTTTGTTTTTGTACACCAACCCTCTTGTTTGCCTAGAAAGTCCGGCCTGTTTGGGGAGGTGTGAACACGCAATCAAACTCTGTTGCAGACCAAAAAAGTGAACTCTGGTATACTTACAATCCTAGGTCTCAGCTCAGAAAATATGAACTTTGGCGCCATTTGAATGCATATATGAATGCCAAGTGGCAAATGCAAAACAAACGCAAGAGTCTGGTGCAAGTGGGAGAAATGTCTCATAATCTTTTACCAAAGACAAAAGAGAAATCCTAAATTAGCTAAAATCTGACTCTACTCCATTTTTATTTACATTTTGTGAGGAAGGCAGCTGAGCACATGTCTTCTTCAGAAGTTTTTGTGTTGTTTCCTTCAATGGTTTTTGGTGCAGCAGCACCATAGGCGAGCAGGTCTCAATTGGTTTGGTTTGTTTGACAGTGCAGTGTGAAAGCGAACCATAGCAGCTGAAAACGTAACAAGTGCTGCAATTTCAGTCCCCAATCAAAGCAAGTCTACCAGACGTAAAAACACCCTTGAAGTCGCATCACAGCATTTCAGTCAGACTGAGATGTAGACACTGTAACACCTTCAGTCTTCTATTTCTCAGCCATTTTGTCATATTTTGCTGCTACAAATGCGGATCATTGTCCTGTTGATAGCCAACTTTGAGCTGTTTTAGAGATGATCTTTTAGCCTCATGGTTGGGGTCTAGAGAGCAATAATTGCTTCTTTGAAATAATTTCAGAAATATTTTTTGATGCAATGTTCCTACGCTCCAGACAATATTACTTCACTGAGTAGATTTAAGCCAACCACAGGTTAGAGACTGGATAGAGACTGGCCTCACTCTATAATACTTTGATGAACAGAGAAGTTAACCAGCCACTAAATTACTACAGGATTGTAGCTCGTGTGACTTCAAAACAAACCCAAATCATCAACACCGTGTTTGATAATGGTTGGCGAGGCGTCTGTGTTAAAAACCTGTTTGGTTTTAGAGATACAGCCAAACATTTCTACTTTGGTTTCATCTGTCCAAAGGATGTTGTTCCAAAGATCATTCAGTTGCAACTTTGCAAATCCAAGATGTGAAGGAGGCTTTGTCCTTTTACCCCAAAATGCTGCACGTTTAAAGTCTTGTTCTTGTCCTGCCATGCAGAGGCGCGGTGTAGGGGTAAAAGTTATGACAATTCCAAGGACCCATGACCAACAGGGGGCCCTCAACAATTTTTTTATTTATTTATTTGTTTTTGTTCATAGAAATAAAAAAAATGGGGCCCTGTCAATTACAAAATTAATTATATTGTGTTTTCTAAAATTGTTTTTATCAATAAAAATTACAAATTAAATTATGCTTTTTGGTTTTAGACCAAAAAACAGTTGTTTCTGTTGTTGAGAAAGTCGTTTCTCCACCAATAGCACATTTAGCAGTGAGTGAATGAGGTTGATTGACAGCACCATGGCCGTCGTACTGGTTCTGATTGGTTGTTTTGGCCGGAATGTTGCATTACTTTGTAGCTCAGGGAGGAGGTGGAGGAGATTGATTGTTTTCTCAGATTATCTGTCTCATAAACTGTCACAACATCATGACAGCTTTAACAAATATGGAGAAAACATATTTTTTATTTAAATTATATACTGCTGCTTGAATAAAATGCAACTACATAGCATTTTTTGAGAAGTCTGGATTGTTTCATGTGTATTTTGCACGTTGCTTTTGACTGTAGATTGTGGGGAGAGATATTTCAGTAATGTAAGTGTAATAAAAACATTTAAGCAATGTACTTGCACACTGTATGTGGACTATTGGATGCAAAATTCATGAGCTGTAAATATTGTGCTAGTATCAACATTGGACCAAAGAAAGCAAGTTGCAAGCCTTTAAAATTGTGATGCTTTTTATGGGTCAAATAGACTCAAAAGATTGTAACAGCAGCTGGGGCCTAATCTAATATTTTGTCAGAGGGCCCAAGATTCCTGGTGGCGCCCCTGCTGCCATGTTCAGAAACACTGGACATACGAACCGAGGTCTGCAGAGTCTGAGATGGAACTCTTGGGTTTTTTGAAATTTCTCAGAGGATTGCATTGATTGGGCTTGAGGTGAATTTGCTGGAAAAATTGACAGCTGAGTAAAGCCGTCTCACTGTGGCATAATGGAGTTCAAACTATTTGAGTTATTTATCTTCATAAACTTTCTCAAATTGACATGCATCAGAAATTGCTTCTTTGAGATCATTGCAGATATTTTTCCATGGTTTTTACTTTGACATTTAACTTCTAATTATGAATTTATTTTATCTACAGCACTTGAATGATGCACTGTTAATTCCTGCTGAGCAATTAATGTTTTCTTTGCTCATTTATGATCAGTAAAACATTACACAAAATGTAAAAATATTGTTTCAATATACCTACACTATATCAACTTATAGCAGTATGATTTTCCTTAAATGATTTATGTGCTGATTTTCAGCAAAGCAGCAATAATGACAATGTTTGAGAGATGGAAAACAGGTTGACAATAATATGTACATAACACCACTCAGACAGGACCTAAAGATGTTTTGTGAATTAATTTCTTCAGTGATTGTTTTTCATTTTAAGATTGTTGCACTTTTTTCATGACTGCAGCAGAACACCTTCCATCATTAGCACAATTAGGGTTAATACATTTCCATCTAAAATCCTCCTTGGATAATGTCTAAACCTGACACCAGCTGAGATTCAAACAGGATGCCATTATATTACTTTTTTATTTATTTAATTTTTTTTTTTGCCACATTATTGTTTCTGTGTGGGAGGGTTCAGAAAATCAAATGTAAATATGAAACATCCTGGCAGATTTAGTGGAGTTATTGGCTTTTTAAATGTTTGAATAACTCCTCAAACACCTCCTGCTCTCCGCGGGCTTCGGCAGCTCATTGCAGCTTTGGAGCTAAGTGATCGTTTGGCTAAATGAGGAGCCCCTGTCTCCGCATGTTTGTGAGAGCCATTATAACGCTGTACTCTCAGCAGGCTTGTGCAACACTGCACAGGAGAATGAGGAGGACTGCTGGGCCTGCAGCATGTCGTGGTCTGGGCTCATTCATGTCCTCCTATGGACCCATTACTCTGCTCAACACTGATGTTCAGTCTAAGCCTCATTCCATCCATCTATTAGTCTGCTGCATTTGGATAGTAAAGCAAATGAAGATGTCTAGGTGCTACAAAAAGGCCATTTCCCCTTCAAAAATAGCAATTATTAGGAATATGTCATAGAAGGTTAATTTTACACGTAATTTTGAGATTTGACTTTTCATGATTATTAAAGGTACATCAATAAAAAACATGAGCAGACATGTAAGTAGTTGAGCATTGTTTTCTGCATAATTTCCAACTAGAACAATCCCAAATTGGATGCTCAGAAGAGTTTATTTACTATAGTTTGAAGGATAACAAGAGCTATTTAATAAATAAACACATTTAGTATATTTTAAATTAAGAACCTATGGAAATAGTAATACTGTATACAAGACACTAAATATGTTTTAAATATGGCTTACAGCAGGGGTGTCAAACTCCAGTCATCAACGGCCACTATCCTGCAGTTTTTAGATCTGCCACAGGTACAAAACACTGGAATGAAACCTCCTTCTCGTGTAGATAAGTTCTCCAGCGCCTTGCTAATAACCTAATTATTCTATTCCAGTGTGGTCCAGCATAGGCACATCTAAAAGTTGCAGGGCAGTGAGGACTGGAGTTTGACACAGGAGGCTTACAGGTTTCGCCTTTCATTTTGTTGTTTCAAGGTGCATTGAGATTAGAGACTAAAACATAGATTCCCTTACTTAGTGTGATGACCACCTTAGGACATAAAACCAGAGTGAGGATGGCAGGATTTCAGTTCAGTTGTGTCCAAAGTCAATCTTCACTACTAGTGACACATTGGCCTAAATTTATTGTAATTTTACTGGAAATCTAAATCTTTGTGTTTGTGATAAGTACAAAAAAAAAACTCAATTACTTCAAAAATTGTATAACAAAACTTCTAGTTAGAGGATAACTGCCTCAAGCGTTAGCGTTAAACACAAGTAACTGCCGAAACGAACGAACGTGATTGGCTTGTGATCTATTGTTTACTGTATTAGCTAGAGCTAACACCATTAGCTAAAAAAAAAAAAAAAAAATTAGCTACAGCTAGCGTGAAAACAAAACAAATTGGAAGATAAATGGGTGTTTAAAGTTCACGTCTGTCTAATTCACAATAGTAGTATAGCTAAGAAAATGTTTTGATCCAGATGCTTACCGTTAACGGCTTCAGTTAGAAACTGGAGCTCTTTGTAGCTATGCTCCATTTCTGGGTTGGCTTTTCCAAGCAGCAGCAGCAAAACTCCAGATTTTTCGTCACACTTTTCATCCGTTTGGTTCTCCTCACTTTCATTTCCCCTTGTCATGTGCGCATTTCCTTGTATTTCAACAACGTCAGGTGTTATGCCCAGAAACGCTTGCCTGCCCAAAATTGCATCCCCTCTCGCGGGAGCGCGCATCGCTC